AACTTTTTTTTTAGCCTTGAGCTAATTTATAAAAGTGTTGCTGATAAAAATTAGCCCTGATTGTTGAGTGTCATAGTGCTGTTGCCATGAGCTATATATATATCACAGTTAGTACCTTTCATGTTCCAATCCAACTACCAACTACTACAACTACCAACAACTACCTAGTTTGCGATATCAGCATCCGCTGGAAGCGAACGTTAACTTGTCATCTACCTACCCTACCTACCTTTTATGTTGTTTATATTTTACTCATACCACAAAGATGTTTTTATTTTGAAAAGTAGGGTTTAAAACTGTATTTTATTATATTTATGTACATGAGGGGGAAGGTGTAATACTGACCAATATCATCAAGTACAAACTTGATCAATAGTTAAACAGCAACACTATCCTATCTGAAAACTTCATGTAAATACAATTTTTTATTTGCATAAAATAATCATATTTTGACACTCTGTGCAAAAGAGAGTTGAAATCAAGTGTTATATCTCTGAGACAACATATGTTACAGATATTAAGGTACAATAAACTAGAATCAAGTATCTACCATTTAGTCAGAAATTGACCAATTTTTAAAAAAAAACATGCGTAGAAAAAAATCATATCGTTATAATTGATTACAATCTGACCGGACAAGTACATTATCATTAACTATAACCTTTTTAAACTTTACTAGACTCAGCCAATTACTTTTCAACAATACTTACCACAGTAAAATAACTTCAACAGAGGCTCATGGCGAATTTCTGTTTTAAGTTATTTATCACAAAATGGGATTATATCTTCTAAATAATTATATAGACACAGCTTTATGGAACAACAATCACTGGTTAAAGTTTTATGCAACGTTTTGACGTGTTTCCCCCGTCGTCCTCTAAATAATTGTTGCAAATCCTCCTGAACTAATCAAAATGGTATGCTCCATGTATGAGTTGGTAGATGTTTTCTGTATGTCATCAATTGAATTTCACAGATCTTTCAATTTTCTTTTAATGCCCCTTTATATTTACATGACTTAAGGTGAAAACTGAAACATACCTATCCAAACTACATTTCATATATGAGGAACTGAGGACTATGTCATCATTCCAGGATGATTCTAAAGCACATACTGTCATAACTGCCTACTGATGTTGGATTTGTTCTGGGTTTTGTAAAGTGACATGGATAGCTGAAATTGTATTTTTTATTAGCAATATATTATTTACATGACTAAATGTCTTTAAGTTTTTCAGACAATATGACAATAAATGTATGTAAGTGGATTTATATTTATTGTGATGTAGGGGATTAACAACTACCTACTTTACTAATCTCTCATCTAATTACTTATAATCACATTAATTATATTCATCTAATATTCACCAATGTGAAAAATATAAACTTTAAATCATGTTTTATACAGATGAGTTGGTCTATCTTGAAAATTAATTTAAATAAATGTAATATATTTTAATTCTTTCGATATCAATTTACTATTCTATAGCTGAATTATATTTAATATTCAACCAGCCTAATCTAAACATAATCAGTGTTTAATAAACATTAGATTCTATCAAATATTTCATTACCACCAGGCCATTGAACTCAAAATATATTCTTTTCAAACAATTGGTAGTCTGAATTGGTCCTGACCCATATACTTGTCACCTACTATAAAAAAAGATCATTATACTTATATAAGAGTATTTCTTAAGAAATTTCTAGAAATTATTCTCTATCATGACCGAACTGATTTACACAAATAGAGTTCAGTTTTTTTTCTGAGCAAAAAATCCCTTGATGAACTTCTAGGCAGATATGGTTGAAATAATTTTCTGAAAAATAAATGTTCTAATGATGTTCATATGATCTTCTGCGAACATATTATTAAGATTAAATGATCTTTTGAGTACATAATGTTTAAAAGATGGGTTCCCTTATTTTCATTTATGAAAATTAAAATGCTTATACTTACATGAATAGAAAGTAGAGGTGTTCTAATGACTTAGAAAAATACCAGTTTGTCTCATATGTCCATAATTGGTTCATAATTACCGGTAGCTAAATTAGGAGAGAATTATCAGCAAAATTCCAATGAGTGACCGATCAAGAAAGGTAAAAAAAGTTTTTTTTTGTTTATCCAGACTACACATACATAGACATTTTATGATTGGTAAAACACTTAATTATATGCAATAAGAACATCATGATATGATTAATAATATATGATAATTCATTAGAAACACCAATTAATCAAATAGTTTGCTTAATTAGACAGTAAAAAATAAGGAAACCCATCTTTAAATGATCTTCCATGCAGATTAAGGGCAGCTCAAATTATGCTGTAAATATTAAGGACACTTATGTCAACCATTTTAAATTAAGTGCAAAAAGACATCAGACATACATGCACATGTTGATTGTTGGTAAGCATGTTTTGTTTGAGAGTTGCTGGAACAAATGGCCTCAGTTAAAACATACAATAAAGTGAATAAAGGTTACAATGGTTATAAAATTGAGTTGGAGTTCATTGACTGAATGATTTTTAACCTTGTGTAACAGATGGGTTCAATGTTGCCAGTAAAATTTTCATTAAGATATCAGAGGTATCAGATCAATGCGATATATCTACTTCATTTAATGGTATAACTACCAACAGTAAATTTTTAATACTTCAACTGAACTGAAACTGGTATATATTTTGAAATGAAACAATGTCTACATCTGTATTTTCTATGTTTTATTCAGTTGATGACGACAAGCAACACCACGCATAAGACATCATCACCTTGAATGTTTAGAGTCTGGCAACAGCACACTTTTTCGAGAACAGTGTGCAGTTTGTCTTCTCCTCTGTCTCAAAAAAACATAATACCTAACTCTGACCATCTGCAAAGGTTCCAATGGTTCGTACCTCCTTTTGTCATGTCTGTATGATTTTCCTTGTCATTATATTGTTCAGAATGTTAATAAAACACTATAAATGATGACAGACCATGCAAATACTTCTGAAGCATCTGATGCTTTATAGCATCCCGGAGAAATGGAATAATGCTTGTGCTGGGATTGAAACTTGGCCTTCATATAAGCCACCTCATGTATTTGATGTATTTACATTGAAGTTGCTAGAAGTATAGGATGGCACAATGATGGAATAAGAAGATAGATTGAACCCTGGATGAAAAAACAATGGAGGTGATTAATCAAGTGTCATCTATTAATTCTCCCGTGACAAATCTGATTCCAGTTACAACTACTAATTGTAATATAACACCAATACATATATACTCATTAGCAGATCTTTTCAGGTTATTTTTACATTAAGCATCTGTATCACCTGACGTCTGGCTGTGAAAGTAATGTTTTTTTAAGAATTTGCATTGAAAGGAAAAAAGAAAGGAAAAAATTCCACATTTTACAAGGATAACAACCCACGCAGCCCTTTACTGGCTTGTTCTTGACCAAACCCCTCAGCATCGATATTCCCTTGATTATTGTAAGAATTAAAGCACATGACATCAAGATACCACAACACCATCTCTACCACAAGATACAATAAATTTACAAATTGGTATCCCTAGAACTGGTTTTATTTTCCTAAGCCTACAACTGTCAAAGAATATTAGATCCCAGTTTCCCACTACTACATTGGTAGTTTTAAGACCTGTTGCATCATACCCAGCTCATTATAAGACATGTGATGTTTCGGTACAATGGTGTTTTAATAATAAATCACCGCTCGTCATCATTACATAACTTTAGGTCATAGTGCAGAGTTACAATGTGCCTAATACATGCCTACGGCAATTAGAATATATTATGGAGAATACAGCGTTGGAGCCCCGGGCTATTGAAAACGTGACACAACTAATTAATTTTGAATCCAACAATTAGATCAGAGAGCTTCACGTAGTCCCATCTAATATTACAACTACTAGAATGTTATTAAAGACAAAATCATCAAAGCGAGACGAGATTGGTTAGTTTGAATCACGAGGAATCTCATACTCCACCGCCAGAGTACACCGGTCCTCGAGCCAAACTCGGGAATGTGGGTGAACGATCTGAATGGCATTTGACCTGACCTACATAGCGTCTTCAACTGGAGGAGTCTGGTTCATTTGAGGTTAGCGTGAGAGTCGGGGGAGAATTACTGAATAAACTATTCAGTGGACCAAGTATTGATTGTTCGTTTGTAAAGTACCTCCATTGATTCACTACCATTCCACAACATGAACATCTTCTGTTTTACAGGAAATGATAATAATTATATCTTTTGAAAATCATATATGGGCATACTTTTCGTCTTGATCGCTAGTTTTTGATGGATTAGATAATTCTACATGAAAAGAAAATTAACAGGACAAGTCGTATTATGGGGATGTACAGAGTCATCAAGATGTACATACATATAAGTCTTTGTTATAATGGATCTTATTGAGATCTAAACTAAAGCTAGAATAAGGCCTATTAATCAATGCAGGTATAAAACACAAAAAATGAAATAATTCGCTAATTTACAAGGGTAAGCTGACACGAAAAGAGCGTCTGAAATCTCAGTGTAATTTTTGCCGCCAATTTCTACCAACCGATCAATATTTGCACACCACCCCCTGCCCACGTCAATGAAATGAGCTCGTGAATTGGTACCACGTGACAATAATATGATTACGCGCGAAGTTATTTGGCAGCTTGCCATCTCATAAATATTAAATGGTACAGTCCAAAAGTTAAGGGTAAGTAGGGGTAAATTTCTCAAAATTCTTCTGCTTACGGTACAAGTTTTGAAAATAATTTTGTACGTCCGTAAAGGCCGAACAGTGTTCCTTTCAGATATATCAAAATATAATTTGTTTACCGAGTGCCTTATAAGTTACATCTTAAAACATGAAGTTTTGTTACATATTTTTACCCAAAACAAATGATTGACTCGTCCAAAACTCCAGACAGCAAGGAAAATATCTGAAACTTTGCCAAGATTGGTCCATTGGCCCACATTTTTAGCGACATATTGTAAAAGGAGAAACACGCCGTGTTAGATTCAGAATTTTCTCTAGAGCTCGTGCTGTAAAGTTTGTAATTCTACTAACGGTAATCAACACCAGTTTTACTACGAGTTTTTAATTACTATGGCTATGTACCCCAACGCTACCAAAGGATATATGCCTTTTGTGAGTGCACCAGTCAAGAGACACCAAGGCAAAAGAACCAAATCAGAGATGACAACCAAATCCAAGACGTCAGCAGATACCAAAACGTATAAAGTTACTTTACGAGATAGAAATGGTTATACCTACACTTACATCATACAAGCTGACGGTACCAAGTCTTTACCCGTTTTATGTGAATCAAAAATCAGTGGACCTGGTCAAGGAAAATCATTACCAGACATCGCTAGAGAATGTGTAAACAGACATAGAGTTAGAACTTTAAGTGCCCCATGTTCTACCAGCTCCGGTGACGGTCAAGACAGTGAAAAGAAGGAAAAGGGAATCTTTAACACCCTTTTACAATTTTTAAGAAAAAAGACCGCCTCTGGAAAATCTAAACGAAAACCTAAACCCGTTGTGCAGAAAAAACGTCAAAGGACAATTTCAGCTATGTCTAATTTGGACCCAATCCAAGAAAGTCCAGAGGAGGACAATCTGGATGATGATGATTCCTACACCCATGATTCCAGTTCCGACAACGAAAGTGTATCGGATCACGAACCTTGAGTTAAACGTTCCAGAAGCAACAAAGACTGACTATGTCGCCTGGGTTCATTCCAAAGTGGTACAGTACTTGTTTCATCATCAGTGCAGTAAGGTGGCTGACATTGGATCTGGAATGAAAATGGTTTTTGATAACAATAAGGACAAACAGGTCCAACAGACTGTGGTGTGTGAAAGATCTAACAGTGCAGACGGATGTTGAAGACGGAGATCCAGCTTGTCTTACCCACGGCCTTTATGAACATCTTTGATCATAATTGGGAACATCGCTAACTATACCAAAGTGTTTTCTGATTCCAGCCTTATGAAATTAGCATTACTCTAGAACATTTTAAATGAGACTAGAACGGTGAAGTGCTGTTTATGAACATGGTTAGACTATTCTATGCAAGCATTCTTATAATTGACATTCTTAAAGGATAAATATCTGTGATTTGATTTAACTTTCATTTCAAGCAACTTTTCAGTTCAGTGAATGGGTCATGCCTATAGAAATTTCTGTTCATCCGTAAGGCTTTGCTTAAAGTATCGTAAGCCTAAATCTTTTTGTTAATGCTTGTAGACATATAAGAGTTGGTTCTGAACCACTAAAGACAAATAATTTATTTTCATACGTAATCAATGCAATTGATATATTTTGTTAAAACTTTGTCCAATGATGAAACTGTGGCAACAACGAAGACGTGAATGAGCTTACAGACTGAACACGATATTGAATCGTGCTCACTGTCCTTGAGTGAAGAGTATGAATGTGTAGGCGTTGGTTGACTCTAGACTATACATTCCAATATTGGATGTATTTTGAATGTTATTTAATTGTTGAGTTTGAAATTGGGTATTGGTTATGACTGTTATTTATTAAGAGTGAATGGTAACTTATGGAATGAGAGCAAGATAGCATGAATGTGAAAATGAATGAATGAATGATAATTTGACATGTGCCTCTTCCAAATGTTCCAAAATAATTTTGACTTTTTTGAGATCAGAATACTTGAGAAAAAAAAAGAAATTTAAATCAATATCAAAATTTTAACTTTATTCGTCGAAGATACTTTGAACTTTTGTCGTAACACGCCTTTTATGACCTATTGGCTATTACGATTTCTAGTAAATTTCCATCACGCGCTACTACTATTTTTAACCTTTTGTTGATAAATGTGAATAATCACGAGGCGGTTGAAATGGCGCAATATGATTGGCTGATGATTCATCCAATGGAGAAGCCATTCCGTAAATGGCCGACCATGTAAACATTGAGTTGTATGAGTAACGTATACTGATCTCAAGAAACTTTAAACCTGTCTCATTCCTCTTCTGAAAATATTATCCATGTGTAACTGTTAAATGTAAGCTTAGAAGTGTATATGACATTAATTTATGCTTATCAATGCAAATTGTTTTGTTTTTGTGCAATTGTTTGATTTAAAAAATGGTAAAAAACAACAAAAAAAATATTAATAAAAGAAATATTTTAAAAGATATCAATCTTTTTTCTTGGCGAATTATTCTATGCAAAAGAGGGGGGCACTTGGGGAGGCTGAATTTACTTCGGCCCGAAAGAGAAGGGATCCTGTTTGAAGTGAAGTCATTCTTAAAAAGCTGAACATGCTATTCATATGCTGAATACAATGCTATCGAAACCGCAATAGGGCATTCATAAATTAGGCGCCTCATTAACCAGACTTTTATGTTTTGAATTCGAAACATGATTTGTTTAAGAGTGCTAAATTGGTGGTACCAATTTAACAACGTTCCGACATGGGAATCCTCAGAGACAAAGGAGACAATTGGATGTCCAAGTCTTCAGAAACGGGAGAGGACTTCCTTGAGGTCCTTACTTGACAAGGTCTTTGCTGACTTTGATGAAGCTCAATATGTACCACGAAGGAAAGAGGAACTTGACATTTTGATGAGATTGACTTTATTTACTATTACTAACTGGGAAGTTAAAATTCGGAAGGAGGATAAAATTAACATTCACATTCCATTCAAACGGGAAGTTTTGAGGGGGATTTTTTGTTAAATTTATAACAAAAAAGCACGATATGGTGATCATAAAAACATACATTCATGCGGTAAATATGGAAGGATTTGTGTCCGCCCTGTTATGAGTCCTATATATATATATATAGATAAACGTATTAATTTGTAATCGGTTTGCATAAATAACTGGGCGTTGAAGATACTGAAGTGTAAAAGCTCCTTGTTCTCAATGTCAGCGGCCTTTAATAAAGCTATAATGGCATTAATTGGCTGCTGTTCGCCGGCGACATCATTAATTTCATGGAAGTGAGTGCGAGGAAGTTTTACTTCCGTCTATTTTCTAATACCGTGATGAAATAACGAACAACTTGCAGTACGCCATCAAAAAGAAACAATGGTTTCCGCTTTTAAATTGTTCCAAGGAATAGGTATTTTGTTCCATTTAAATGGCCAGAAGTTCTTTTAAAGTCGGTCCAGAGAAGTAGATACCTTATGCTGGACCAACACGTGGACAGCGATCAAGACCGTAGCCTTGCAACACCGGATATCCCGGATAGGAGCAAAAAGGTTTCATATTTCGTCTTCACCGACGCGTATCATCTGAATGGTCAACAGTTAAATCCAATCCAGATATCTTGACCATGAATAAAGAACCGTTTTATGTGGTAATAATATTATGGTTGCGAATGGGTGTGTGTAGAAGTAAATAAAATAATGTATTGATGAGCTAAATTATAACGGGCTGGAATTTTACCTTGATGTGATTATTTGGCTATACTTTCATCAAAATAACTCGAATGTTCTGGCGAGATGCCCAATATCAGTTACTAATTAAATAGTCATGAATCGATAACTATATTAGTATGATTATCAATAAAACATTTTCATAACACAAATTTTCCATTGAAAATGAGATTTTTGATCATTTTAGCAACTTTCGAAATTCAAACTACTGTGTACATTGGTGTTAAACTGGAGTAGGGGCGGTTGGGATTTAAAACCCACCGTGTCGTTTGGTTCCTTCGGCATCTTGACCCCGCCCCCTATGTGTTTACATAGCTACTACCTGGGCATCATATAACATGCTATCAGCGGGACCTTCGGGGTAGATTTTAGAGGATAGGCCTCTCGATCATTGAGAACCTAGACAGAACCACGTGTCATAACAGAATATGGTAAACGTAGAAATAATATATATGTAACTGCTTATCGATCCTGGAAGAATGCCAAGTATTGATATAATTCGTCCTTCATATGCAGACGATATTATAATCAAATCTATATTAAAATGATCAATACGCTCCTTTTCGTTCATTATTAATTATAATATCAGTAAATAGTAAACAAATTGTAATTTATTACTACTTGAACCATATCACATAAAAACAATAATAAAAGATATACATTATGCAGCGAAATCCCTCAATATAAAAATCTCAAGATTTAAATTCTAAATTTGAATTTGTGAAGCGGGTTCATGTTGCTGAATTATTGCAGAATGAGAATTATTGAGAACTATCTGAAAAAAACATTGAATCTTTGTGAACATAACAAGGTTCTCTTTTCCCAGAAATAATGATAAAGTGTTATTATCAATAAGATATGTAACATATTGTACCATTTAGCGACTGATAACAAATTAAGAGAGGACGGATATTGTCACTTATGAGGTGACAACACGGAAATAATTTATTTGTGGTCTAGTTATTTATTTCATTTTCGATCCTCCAATCAAAAATCACAATTTATTTTATGACGTCCGTGTTGTTGTTTATAAAATAGAAACTTCCTTAGAATTGCTTGTAAAAATTAGGGCACTAATAAATCTATATGGTCCCAATCAGCCTTAAGCGGACATCAGATACTAAAGAGAGGTCTTGGATAATTCCCTTTCGTGTCTTACTTTATCAAAGGTGCATCAGGTCGACCAATTAAAACTTTTGGTCAGCCTAATCACTATGCTTATAATTGGCGAAGGCGGGGGATAGCAGGGTGCATAAGGTCAAAAAGGGTTAAACCTAGAAAATATTTAGGATTATGGTTGTGATATTCATTAGGCGTACTTCCTTATATGGTCGGGATGTTAAGAATTCTAATGACATAACATACATGTAGATGAAATGGCTAGGCTTTATATATTAAAATATCAATTGTATTCAAGGCTTATGTTTCAGTAACAGAATACGAGGTTTCTAGATCTGAATCCTTCTGATTAAAAAGAAGTAAGAATTATCACAAGAACTTATCCATTGTAAATGTACACTCGGGATACGATACAGCATAAAAGGAACAAAGTTCTAATTATTGTCCGACAGGATTAATGAATATCATTATATACCGTACAATATTATCATGAACATGTCCAATAAGTGGAGGCGTGGGAATGACTCTTATAAACTCCAACTTAGACCTGAGCCTCATATCGAATATCAGTAAGCTTTACACCAATTGACATTAAACACCATCCTTGACCAGAGACTGGTCATTTCTACTACGTAGTACGAGATGATTCGAGAAAGTATCTATAAATAGATTGTTTACAAACACTGATGGAGTGGTCAGTAGTGACCTTAGATTGACTTATTGTACTCCAATACATTACATGAATAATACGATGACCAATGAGCATACGTTTCTGAAAGATTACTACCAACATCGTTAGCACGTACTCCAGTTATGTAATCTTTTGTTATCTAGATGTTTATATTGTATAACAATATATGAAGCATGGGGTGAGGTCTTTTGAATGTTATATTAATCATCCGATTATTCATTTGACCATGACCATGCTTATATCATATTTCTTGATTTTTTTTTTACCTTACGCTACTTTCATTAATCGCCAATTGGTGAGCCCCTCCGGCTTGAGCTAGTGGTAACAGAACTTCCTTCTTCGTTATAGTCTAAATAAATTTATAGACATTTCAGAACCTACGTGGTGATGTCAGATTATATTCATTGGTGTAGGAGTATTGGTTATTCATAAACCGTTTTATGAAATTAAACAAACGGAGTTTTACATTCGAGGTTCTTCATCCAGCATGATGTCTGGCCAATGTGAATGTTTCAAAAGTTATTAGCAGCAGTGGCATATATATACTTTTACCTTATATCAGATTCGAAAGACTTCAATCTTTTTTTAAAGAAGAAATTACATCTTCAAAAACGGGATACATCCTTACCAATCCTCTTAAACTGTGTTATTTAATTAAGCATAAAGGTTGGATCCCCATGTTCTGTTTTCCAGCAACCAGGATCTCCTGATAACAAAAGGCTTGAAGTATAATTGCGATTTCTATATCAAACAGAAACAATTTTATCAATATATCACATTAAATATTTCACATTTCAATCAGTTCCCTTCTAAAAATATATATGAGTAAATATGTAAGGAGTAAATGACACTTTTAACTAAGGTAATTTGAAGTTGGTAGAAATTGGTCCGTATTGTTAGGGATATGACTATAATATAACGTCTTAGAAAAAACAAAAAATCTAAAAATTTCAAACTTAGCCAATAAGAGCATATATTTATCAGTAGATATACCTGCTGTCATAAATAACATAACATGATCCTTATACAATCCGATAAATCTAAAAAAAACTTCATAAAAATGCAATAAACTATTGAAAACGCCTAATATTTTGATTAATCGTTTTTCAATAATTACTTAGTTTTGTGAATTTTCCAATTTTCAAGTTTTTAAAAGGGGTTCTGTTGTAACTTTATGACACCAAGTAATTTCACTGATGAATATATCCTCTTATTGACCATTCTTGAGAATTAAATTTTATGTTCATTCTAAGACGTAGTATCACTTTGAGATATATTTATTTGATTGAATATTATTGCAAATTAAGTCTCCCATTTGTACATATTTTCTGATCTATGCATTATGTATTTGAGTCACCTAGAGCATCTATTTGAGTAATTCGTTTTCTTGATTTATATGCTAGAAAAAAAACTCATATCTGGTCAAATTGGGCAAACGACTGGTCCCCTTAAGGTTGTGTATGATACGGTTCCAGGAGAGTATAGAAGTGTGAACAGGTAAGAAGCCGGTCTGGAAATTCCAATGGTGCATGTAAAGCCTGTCAGTGTTTCCGGTAATCATAAAGGTCAAGAAAACTTTTTGAATTCATGATCTACCATGCATAGAAGAACAAATGGCGAGGGCGACCTTGATGGTAATTTTACATAACGTCTTATACGGCCAATCTGCCCTATTTGGGATGACCTTGTGTATGTTTGTAGAGTATTGGATTATGTAATAGATAATGGAAGTAAATCAAAATATTACCATAATGGCCTATTAATATCGACTCCTACTCCATGTTATATAATTATTGTTTACTGGTGTTTTAAAATATGTACGCTACAATCTTATTAATTACGTGGAATAATCTATATAAACACATTCGTAACATTCCCGTGTCATTACAGATTTGGTAAAAGGAGTGTTCCCCTAATGCCAGAACACTTTAATCCTGTTTTAC